TTAGAGTTTGAAGGTATCGAAATGAAACCATAATGAACAACTTCCTATAGAATTCTAGTGGTAAAAGTGATTTAATTCATTGATGATAATATTCATCAACAAGGAAACAATTTAACATTTGATATCTTTGACTACTTCATCAAATAGAGATTTATGTTTGATTGTTTGTTGGGAACAATAATGATCGATATAATTCGAATGTGTCTCATCAAAGTTTAAGAAAAAAAGATTTTTGAAAGAAGATCACTTGAAATAGTTCACTTATATCGAGAATTAAACGAAACATCTTTCAAAAAAACAATTTGTTTCTTCATACCTTAATTCGACTGATATATACACAAAATACTGAGAAGTCCATTATTATGATTCACTCTTCATATTCTTAATGACGATGAAAATATCTATTTGTTCATCTTCGTAGCTTCTCAAAAGAGATACTTTTTAATTAAAGATTTCGCTATTTAAAGAAAGCTTTGGCTATTTAAAATTCTTAAAAGAGATACTTTTTAATGAAATATCGCTATTTAAAGAAAACTTTGGCTATTTAAGAGCTTTGATACTGGTTTTTTCATAGTTAGCTAGCAATTCATACAAAACAACAGTGACACTCAATTATTTAAATAGCTGCGTGGCTTATTGTTTTGCGTTCTGGTTTTTTTGAATTCATCCTCACATCAACTAAGCAACCCCCTGCTCGTGGTTTATTTTGCTTTTTTCAAAATAAAAGATATTAGATGATAAAAAGATAAAATAAAAAAACGAATTCATCCTCACATCAACCCAACAACCCTCTGCTCGTGATTTATTTATTTTTTTTTTGAAGTAAAAGATATTAGATGATAAAAAGATGAAATAATAAGAAAGAATCCATCCTGTTATCAACCAAACACAAACCTCTGATCGTAGTTTTTTTTTTTCAAAATAAAAGATATTAAATGATAGAAAGATTGCATAAAAAAACGAATTCATTCTCGCTCAACCAAACAAACCTCTGCTCGTGGTTTATTTTGCTTTTTTTTATTACAGTAAAACATATTAGATGATAAAAAGGTGAAACAAGGAAAAAACGAATTCATCCTCATATCAACTAAACAAACCCTGTTCTGAAGAATCAGGAAGGTAGGATGAATATTTGAGCAAAATATCTAATAGTGATGATAACGTAGTATTCTTTTTGATGCTTATAAGAATAAACATATAATTGTCAGTATTTTTTATTGTTAGGAATCGCAGACTCTGATTTAGGTTTTTTTCTTTTCTATCGCAAATTTAAATAGTTGCAAGATATTTAGATAGCAACGATAGGATAAAATAGGGAAATGAATAATTAAATTGCTATACAAATCATTAAATAGCTACAAAATCTTTAGAAAGCTATGATAGGATTAAATAGCCAAATGAATGATTAAATAGCTATGTAAATCATTAGATAGCTATAGCAACTTTAAATAGCTACAAGATCTTTAGATAGCTATGATAAGATTAAATAGGCAAGTAAATGATTAAATAGGCAAGTAAATGATTAAATTGCTATGCAAATAATTAAATAGCTATAGCAACTTCAAAATAGCTACAAGATCGTTAGATAGCTATGATAGCATTAAATAGCTATACAAATCTTTAAATAGCTATCGCAAGTTTAAATAGCTGCAAGATCATTAGATAGCTACGACAGGATTAAATAGCCATGCAAATCATTAAATCGCTGTGCAAATCTTTAAATAGTTGTAGCAAGTTTAAATAGCTGCAAGATCTTTAGATAGCTATGATAGCATTAAATAGCTATACAAATCATTAAATAGCTGTGCAAATCTTTAAATAGCTATAGCAAGTTTAAATAGCTGCAAGATCTTTAGATAGCTATGATAGCATTAAATAGCTGTGCAAATCATTAAATAGCTGTGCAAATCTTTAAATAGCTATAGCAAGTTTAAATAGCTGTAAGATCTTTAGATAGCTATGATAGCATTAAATAGTCAAGTCAAAGATTGAATAGCTATGCAAATCATTAAATAGCTGTGCAAACCTTTAAATAGTTATAGCAACTTTAAATAGCTGCAGGATCTTTAGATAGCTATGATAGC